GTCGATGTGCTGTAGTTCCTTTATAGCTCAACGTTAGCCGCCTTTAGCTTAGCGGTGGAGACGTGAAGTCATGTGACCGTGCTGTTGTTCCTTTATAGCTCTACGTTAGCCGCCTTTAGCATTAGCAATTTACTTCAGAAACAAAACGTGTAAGTATCGTAAACATTTGTTTGACACAGAGATTATTTTCTGCAATAATCCAAAATCACATGGAGGAATCCCATTGGACCAGGAGATGCTGCCTTCAGGGACCAACATGGGAATACGACATCCCTGCACCTCTCTATAGCTGATACATAGTAATAATTAATATTAAAAACAAACGTTATAAAATGATTCTGTGGCACTCTCACAAGCATACTGTTTCCAGAACGATATGCTCCTACATGGTTTCAGCAGGTAGATCTTTGGTTTTTAGAAGCACTATGTACACTCTTCATTTGTTGAATTCCTTCCTATGATTTCTGTGATCATTAAAACACACTCTCTAACGCAACACTAGACATCTTCTCAGTAGCATTTGGTCCTGAACGCACCTCTCCATACTTCATTTATTATTGTTTTTTAAAACATGGCACACCCGAGATGTACTTCCTGCTGTGTTGTCTCACGACGAGGAAATCTGCCCGTGAACACGGAAACGATAAAGACACGTGTAGTCAACGTGACCCCAATTACTGAGAACACGTAACTCCACCAGTCTGTAGACAACACTGGAGATCTGAGAGGAGGAGGAGGAGGAGGGAAATGTAAGAGATAAATAAAGCAGAAATGACATTACATTTTTTTTTCTATGGATACTCTATAGATATTCATCTTTTATTCTGTATTTATTGTTAATGCTTTTAGTTTATCTTTAACTCAATGTCTTGTAAACAGGCTGCAATCAGAGATCAATAGTGAATCTATTCTAATGACTAGCCTGTTCACAATGCAATTCATTTTCACATCACCATTCCTCAGTCTGAACTCACGGGCAGTTTGAACGTCTGCGTAGATTCTCCGTTCTCATCGTAGGTGAACGTCCCGAGCAGAGAGCCTTCCTCTGACTCCTCTCTCATGCCCTGGGAGATACAGATCGGGCCGTGTCAATAACATACAGAGGATGACAAACAGATGTAAAGGTCTCTGTAGCTAGTGTACCAAAACAAACCCAAAAAACTGATATGGATTAAAGGTCTCCTATTTCTCTCTCTCAGGTTTACCACAAGGTGAGTTCCTTTTGATTTCCTGCTTCTTCACACAGACTCTCTCCAGTGCAGGTTAGCTCTGAGTGTTAGCATGCTAATGTAAATACAGGCCATATTACTTCCACAACACGTCTTATTGTTTCTGACAGCAACGTTTCTGATTGGCCCGTGGCGGTAAAGCCCGCCCACATTTTAGTAATGTCGTCATGACGCAGCAAATCTGGATCAGCTCCGTTGTTCCCCCGTTTTTAGAGTTGTGGGTATGGAGGAAAAGAGAGAGGGTTTTGTTTCCTGACACTTTGTGAGTCTTCTGACACACCAGGGACACACCGGGGACACACCGGGGACACACCGGGGACACACCAGGGACACACCAGGGACACATGTTGATGTATAAAAGACATCACAAATTGCATTTTGCATGATAGGAGAGTTTTAATAACTTATGAAATAGTAGGAACAGAGCAAATTCATCCTCAGAGGATAAAGAAGTTCTGCACCCAGAACACAGCTCACAGTCACACTATATAGTAGAGAATATCCAACTGGTCCCACCCTTCAATTCTCTTAGACATCATCTAAACATCCCATCATTAAGACCCTGTTACGGGTGCCGCCTTCTATCTGCCCATTAACCTGTCTGTAAGCGTTTGCAGCTGTGTGTGTTTTATGTATATGAGCTGTGCCGTTGCCCGGACGCCATTGGATGCTGGTTTTCCTGTCCCTCCCCCGGTAGGCGTGACCGAAGATCTGGATTGGAGCAGGCCGGGCTTGACTCTCCAATCCCCGCACACACCTTCCGGGGATAACTACAAGACCGTTAGTCGAGAGAGCTCTGCATATGTGGCAGATGATAATTCTGTTAACTTCTTTAGTGCCTTTTGTTGTTTGTTTAAACCGGTGCCTTTGTGGCCTTTTGTTTTGATTGTGGTTGTTTGTTGCCAATTTTACTGCGCACTTTTAATTAACTTCCAATTTACCAATTTCAACTGGTTACATGTTACTTTCTACTTTCCACGAGCAAGGACGTAACAGACCCCCTTGTCTTTAACCATTTGCAAATCCACCTTTCACTCTTCCTTTGCCTCCTGAACTGTAAATCCTTAACGATGTGTCTCTGTTAAACACACACGAGACTAAGCATGCAATTTAACAGTGTACAAAAAAAAGACAATAAGAGTATATTTTTTAAATGATTATATGATCATTTGCCACGACAATATTCTCTGGGGTGACTCACGTAGACCTGGAGGTCTCGGGGGGCGGAGTCGATGCGTCCGGTGGGAGAGTTGTATCGGGGGAGGTGGTCCAGGGTCACGTGACTCACGGTGATGGGGTGAGAGAGGGAGATCAGGAGCGTGCCCTGCACACCGTGAAACGCCCAACATTTACCCGGCAACAGCACTGGGGAACCCTGGGAGAAACGAGGAGAGAGGAGGGTTTGATCTTACTGAGAAGAAAGGTTAGTGGAGGTCAATGTGAGGAAAGGTTAGAGGAGGTGAGAAAGGTTAGAGGAGGTCAATGTGAGAAAGGTTAGAGGAGGTGAGAAAGGTTAGAGGAGGTCAATGTGAGAAAGGTTAGAGGAGGTCAATGTGAGAAAGGTTAGAGGAGGTCAATGTGAGAAAGGTTAGAGGAGGTGAGAAAGGTTAGAGGAGGTCAATGTGAGAAAGGTTAGAGGAGGTCAATGTGAGAAAGGTTAGAGGAGTCAATGTGAGAAAGGTTAGAGGAGGTCAATGTGAGAAAGGTTAGAGGAGGTCAATGTGAGAAAGGTTAGAGGAGGTGAGAAAGGTTAGAGGAGGTCAATGTGAGAAAAGGTTAGAGGAGGTGAGAAAGGTTAGAGGAGGTCAATGTGAGAAAGGTTAGAGGAGGTGAGAAAGGTTAGAGGAGGTCAATGTGAGAAAGGTTAGAGGAGGTCAATGTGAGAAAGGTTAGAGGAGGTCAATGTGAGAAAGGTTAGAGGAGGTCAATGTGAGAAAGGTTAGAGGAGGTGAGAAAGGTTAGAGGAGGTCAATGTGAGAAAGGTTAGAGGAGGTCAATGTGAGAAAGGTTAGAGGAGGTCAATGTGAGAAAGGTTAGAGGAGGTGAGAAAGGTTAGAGGAGGTCAATGTGAGGAAAGGTTAGAGGAGGTCAATGTGAGAAAGGTTAGAGGAGGTCAATGTGAGAAAGGTTAGAGGAGGTGAGAAAGGTTAAAGGAGGTCAATGTGAGAAAGGTTAGAGGAGGTGAGAAAGGTTAGAGGAGGTCAATGTGAGAAAGGTTAGAGGAGGTCAATGTGAGAAAGGTTAGAGGAGGTCAATGTGAGAAAGATTAGAGGAAGTCAATGTGAGAAACATTAGAGGAGGTCAATGTGAGAAAGGTTAGAGAGTGAGAAAGGTTAGAGGAGGTCAATGTGAGAAAGGTTAGAGGAGGTCAATGTGAGAAACATTAGAGGAGGTCAATGTGAGAAAGGTTAGAGGAGGTCAATGTGAGAAAGGTTAGAGGAGGTCAATGTGAGAAAGGTTAGAGGAGGTGAGAAAGGTTAGAGGAGGTCAATGTGAGAAAGGTTAGAGGAGGTGAGAAAGGTTAGAGGAGGTGAGAAAGGTTAGAGGAGGTGAGAAACATTAGAGGAGGTCAATGTGAGAAAGGTTAGAGGAGGTCAATGTGAGAAAGGTTAGAGGAGGTCAATGTGAGAAAGGTTAGAGGAGGTCAATGTGAGAAAGGTTAGAGGAGGTGAGAAAGGTTAGAGGAGGTCAATGTGAGAAAGGTTAGAGGAGGTCAATGTGAGAAAGGTTAGAGGAGGTCAATGTGAGAAAGGTTAGAGGAGGTCAATGTGAGAAAGGTTAGAGGAGGTGAGAAAGGTTAGAGGAGGTCAATGTGAGAAAGGTTAGAGGAGGTCAATGTGAGAAACATTAGAGGAGGTCAATGTGAGAAAGGTTAGAGGAGGTCAATGTGAGAAAGATTAGAGGAGGTCAATGTGAGAAACATTAGAGGAGGTCAATGTGAGAAAGGTTAGAGGAGGTCAATGTGAGAAAGGTTAGAGGAGGTCAATGTGAGAAAGGAGGTGAGAAAGGTTAGAGGAGGTCAATGTGAGAAAGGTTAGAGGAGGTGAGAAAGATTAGAGGAGGTCAATGTGAGAAACATTAGAGGAGGTCAATGTGAGAAAGATTAGAGGAGGTCAATGTGAGAAAGGTTAGAGGAGGTCAATGTGAGAAAGGTTAGAGGAGGTGAGAAAGGTTAGAGGAGGTCAATGTGAGAAAAAGTAGGAGGTAAGAGAAAGTTAGAGGAGGTCAATGTGAGAAAGGTTAGAGGAGGTGAGAAAGGTTAGAGGAGGTATAATACATGTGAGAAAGATTAGAGGAGGTCAATGTGAGAAAGGTTAGAGGAGGTCAATGTGAGAAAGGTTAGAGGAGGTGAGAAAGGTTAGAGGAGGTCAATGTGAGAAAGGTTAGAGGAGGTGAGAAAGATTAGAGGAGGTCAATGTGAGAAACATTAGAGGAGGTGAGAAAGGTTAGTGGAGGTCAATGTGAGAAAAGTTAGAGGAGGTCAATGTGAGAAAGGTTAGAGGAGGTCAATGTGAGAAAGATTAGAGGAGGTCAATGTGAGAAAGGTTAGAGGAGGTCAATGTGAGAAAGGTTAGAGGAGGTCAATGTGAGAAAGGTTAGAGGAGGTGAGAAAGGTTAGAGGAGGTCAATGTGAGAAAGGTTAGAGGAGGTGAGAAAGGTTAGAGGAGGT